GTGGCCAGAAAAAGATGAAGATTTATGGTAAAGACAGATTCATATTAAGAAAAACCTCTAAAGGTTTACAGTGTGTTTTAAAAAATATATAGGCTTGGGAAAGAATAAAAAATGGTTTTAAAAAGACAGAGAACAGCTGGGTGTGGTGGGTCACGCCTTTAATCCCAGCACTTGAGAGACAGAGGCAAGCAGATCTCTTGTGATTTCAAAGTAAACCTGGTATGCAGAGTGAATTCCAGGACAGATAAAAGTTACACAGAGAAGCCCTGTCTCAAAAAATAAAAAAAATAGAAAGTAAATAAACGAAATAATAAAAAAGCCACGTAAAGATGGAGAGAATCTGTATACTGTCTGGAATTATATTGTATTTATATCATTTGACTGCTGAGGACACAACTGTTAAAGGAAATACTACTGGATTAATTCAATTTATATATTTTAAAAATGCTTTGACTTCAAAATTTAAGTCTAAGGACAAGTTACTGGGAAAAAGGATTTCTATTTTTGTTTCCACAGAAAATGAAAAGCTGTGGATTCTTTCCAGACTAATGTGGTTTGATAAAGCCAGACCCCATGAAACAGAGTTCCTGATGATCCAACATTCAAAACAGCTTGGACAAGGCAGCCTTGCAGACTACAGCCAGGATTTCATCTTCTTAGGATCCCCATGACAGTGCCCCCTATCAGCAGGAAGTAGTTTGGAAAGAATGACACCCAAATTCCCAAATATTGTTTATAAATGTTTGTTTTCATTTAAATGGGGTTAGTTATAAATGGTTAATGACCACAACCAATCTCCTTTTAAAGGTAAAAAGGGATTATGGTATAGATATGAATACTTTGTTTTGGAATGGATTTCATTTATTGATAGAATTTAAGGTCAATTTTGTGATATGTATATTTCTCTTCTTGTTTATGTATTGTGTTTATATAGCTCATTTAAAAATGTAATGTATAATTTAGTACAGATTTTAGATAGTTACCTATAATATTAAAAACTTATAGCTAGGTGAATTAGGTTTTCTAGATATGCAGAGATGTATTTGAGAAGGATAGGCATTCTTCAAACCTTTCAAAGACCTACAGAATATGGCATTTAAAATGGTTTAGGGTTTTTCTTGACAGTGAGACATAAAAGCTCCTGGCAACACCACCTGCATAGAAAGGAAGATGGACATTGAAGAAACTCGTTATGGAGTTTACTTCCAATATGGCAAGACTAGCCATTTGGACAAGATACTGCTCTGTCTGGACTGTTTGACTTTATACTATATAAACTGGATGTGCAGGACCCACAGAAAAGTGACTGCTGATTCAGGATGGACATTGTTACAGAGTTCCTGCTTCCTGGAAGAGTCTGCCAGACAGTGTGCAGGACACAGAGAAAAATGACTGACAAACTGCCAATACAAGAAGACAGTTTAAAGTTTCCTGCTTTGCTGAAGAGTCTGGTAGACACACTATGGCCTATGGGCTGAAGATGGAAGATTACAGAAGAACTTCAAGTGACTAACAAAGCAAGATGTCTCTGTCATTTCTAGAGTTTATATACTATCCTTCTGTGGTCTTTGAAGGAGTTGAAGACAGATAGTTATGGTTATAGTTTTCCATAGTTAGGATTAAAGAAAAGTTACATATAGGAATTTAGACTCACAAAATAGAATAGATGATGGGATATTTTCTTAAATCTTGCTAAATGTTAATGGACTAAATATTGTTAACTGTGATTCTTAATTGATAACTGTTGTGTAATATATTTTGCTATGTTAAGGTTAAAACCCTTCTTTTTATTTAGACAGAAAAGAGGAGACGATGGGAGATGTCATTCTGTATATATGTTTCTCATACTGGTTAATGAATAAAGCACTGTTGGCCAACAGGAAAGGAAGATAGGAGGGACTAGGAGACAAGGAGGAAAGAGGAAGTAGGAAGGAGGAGAGAAGATGGAGAGACTGGGGAGACGAGACACTGGCCCCTTTCCCCGGTAAGAAGACCACGTGGAAATATTAGATTAACAGAAATGGGTTAATACTTAAGACAGAGCTAGCCGATAAGAAACAAGTAACAGACCAACAGAATTATTTCAAATACAGAGTCTCAGTGTGTTAATTGTGGCTGTTGTGGCGGCGGGACAGACCAGCGGCAGGCGGAAAAACCGTACTCCTTACACAAAGGTAAGTTGTGGAATAATTTTTATCTCCCATGTTAAGACATATATTTCTATGATGATACTGTGTTTTAAATGTCAGATAGCTAAGTACTTTCACCCTCATCCACACCCTTTTTCTCATGGATTCTTTTCTTTTGATCACTCTGAAAATCAGCTCAGGCTCTACACTGTGCATAAAAGATGGAATGAAGAGCCAAATATGAAAACTGACCAAAGCCAGATGGGCTACAGAGATCACACAGTGAAGGAAGAGCTGAGTTGTCAACGAGGAAAGGGAGAAAGGAGACAAGAAAATCTGCAGGCACAGTAGTGGACTCCAGTCTGCAAAGAGTCACATGCTGACAGCTGGGAAGCATGTAGAGTGTGAGTGAGTATCCAAAAGCACAGACTAAAGGGGGAGTTGTGAGCAAGCTTCTTAATAATTTGACTGTTCCTTTGTTGCCTGTTACAGTAAGGTGTATTTGAATGTGACACTGTTCTGAAAAAGGAAGACATGGTCACAGGGTTTCATATGGGTTACTCATAAGTATCGATTCTGTAAGAGGAGATGGATAACACAGAGTATTCAACTATTCTCAGAAGAGTAGCCACTGTAAGCAGTCCTAAATTACAACCTTGTATTCTCACACCACAAAGGCAATCTAGCCAATTGATTATTCTATTGGAGTTACATTAGACCGTTGCATATAAACTTCCTGACAACCAAACACCAAGATTCACATACTGCAACTACCTTAGAAGAAAAAAAAAATATGAAGGAAAACCAAAGGGGTGGAAAGTAAACAGGAAAATTTACTAATGTAAAAGGCAGATGGTTAAGGAGGTAGAGAGACCAAAACTCTTCACCGTAAATATGTTCAGTACTGGGAACACTGTGCGTTTCACAGGAGCAAACAGTTGCCCAATGGGATACACCTTGCATTTTTTACATTTGCACATTAGTATACATAAGAAAGCAACAGCAAGAAGCAATTATCTAGGGCACAGATGCATGACGGCAAGCAGGTTTCCAGCTATACTTCAGAAGAACACCAACTTCTAAGTGTACTTCAAGACATGGAGGCATTCATACTTTCAGAACACATATACATTTGTGCTCTGTTCACATAAGGTGGAATATGGAAGATTAAACATGCCAGTAGAAGTAACGGTTTGAGTCAGTGTCTTAAAAATGAAGTTAAATTTTAGGAGGAAGGCAAACAGAATAGAGGCATGAAGTTCAGTCAGAAGCTAGGAAGGCAGCTTAGTAGCTAAAGCTCTTACTACAAAATTTCAAGAACTAGAGTTATAATCTCCAGAAACCCATGTAAATTTTGGCTGAGTGTGGTAGCCTGCCTGTTACTGTAGCCTTAGAATTTGGAGACAAGGGTTCCACACAATAAGCCGTTAGGAAAAACTGGTTATATCAGCACACCCCAAGTTTGATTGAAAGGTCCCGTCTCATTGAGAAAAGTGGAAAATAAATAGATGATGATTCCCCATATCAAACTTGTGCCCCACAAACATAGATACAAAGTGCATGTGTACCCACACACATGCAAAGAATATGTACACAAATCTGTATACCACATACACAATAAATGGAGAAAATTTGTGTGTTTTCATGAAAGGAAGGGTTTAAACTTAAGATGCTAAACATTAATCTATGTACTGCAAAAGGCGGTAAGTTTGTACAGAGTACTTAATGAATCATTCCTTTAGACATTACATATTAGTGTTCAACAAATACTTTGGCATATACTTTCATTAATTGACAGTATGGCAAGATAGAATGTCATTTGTACTTTTGGTACAGTTCAGGATGCCTTTCTCCAGAAGGATGTGTCTTTCCACGTTCATTAATTTAATTAAGGCAATACCCTATAGAGCATCAAATATATACAATCTCTCGAGTCTCTTTGTCTGGGTAACTTTAAGTTCTTTCAAACTGATAACTAAACCTAATCATGTGCTTACTTACTTAAATATACTAAAATAGGTATTTTGTTCACAAGAGTAAAATATTGAATTCCACACAAAAGTCTGTGAGCATATATATATGATGGAATATTATTTAGTCATGAAAAGCTAAAATAATGTTATATGTTACAGCATGTATAGTTGTTGAAGACATTGTACTTAATGAAATATGCCAGTCAGAAAAAGGCATGCCACAGATCCCCACTTCTATGAAACATCCAGAGTTGTCAAACAGATGAAGACTGTGTCACAGATACTTTGAGAAGAACATATAGATAGTTGAATGAATGCATACAGTTTTACTTTTCTTAGATGAAAAATATCTAGCAACAACTTTCTCAAAGATGTGCAAAGGCTTGCCAACACTAAACTGTAAATGAACCTTAAAGCAGTTCAGAAATTATTTTTATCTTACATGTATTTTATTGCTAATGAAAAAATGTTCAAAATGCCAAATAAACTATATGTTAACTAGGTGAGTAACCCTGTGAACTAAAATATAATTAGAGAATCACGTGGAACATTTGTTCTACATGGTTTTGCACCCGCCTTTCCTATCCTCCTTAAAATACTTGGTTTGGGGCCATTACAGAAACCATACCTTCCAAGTCCATACCAAGGTATTTGTTTAATAGGAGAATTTGTTCTCATCCTCCAAGAGCAAGCAATAGGAAGATTTCTAAGTAACATCAAAAGTGTGAAGTTTGGAGCCATGCCTGCACTAAAACATTGAAATACATATGCAACTATTCCCAGCAAATATTGCAAACTTCATGTGCAGAGAACATGGTAAACACTTCTTTTAAGTCTAAAAAACAATATCCCATTCATACAGCAACCCTCAGCATCAGCACCATCTTATTCCACCTACCTTGCTTTCGCACGTCCTCCACAGCAGCCACCAACTCTTCTTTGAGGTCTTGACTCTCCTTAGCAATCTGTTCACCCTTTTCGAGGAAGTTCTGAGTAGCTTGTTCTACTGATGCTGCCAGCACGTGGGCTTTCTTTGACCTTCCTTTCTTTTTACCTGATGGACCTTTGTTGCTTGTGTTGACAAGTGTTGTTACCTGAAACACAAAAGAAAACCTATGAAACCACTCTGTAAGATTTTCTAGAGCTGGGTTATTGACTCATAATTTCTAATTATGCATTAAGACCAAGAAAAAGTGTTGGATCATTTAGAGCTATTGTTACAGACAGTTGTAAGCTGTCCAATATTGAGTTCAGATGGGAGCTGAACACAGAGAACCTCTACAAGAATAAGTGCCCTTAATTGCTAAACCATAGCTCCAGCTCTAACCCTTTATACTATACTTTGAACTTATATCTCAGTTGTAATTTATCTCTTACCACTGTATACAGAGGACTACTTAATTTGTTAATAAAGCTTTTAATGTCTCTAAAACAATTTGTTAACCCCTATAGACATTAGAACCTTTATTCTGTGCCAGAGAGAAATCTGAAAGGAAGAAATAAGTTCAGGTGTTCTACAATATGTCAACAACTGTTGCTATTTGTTTTTATTACTATTGAACAAGGAACTTATCAGCTTCCTAAAAAGGAGAGCTTTGTAATTTTAATTTAAACGTATTATAGTAAGAACCATTAAAATTTCTCTTTCAGTTATTAAGGAAGCCAGTCCAAAACCAAAGTTCTATCAAATGATAAGTTTTATTCATTATATCCTCATTACACAGAACCTCTGCACATCAGAAAAGCAACCCCCGTGACAAGTCTGCCTTTCTTTTGGTAGATGTTCCACAAAATAATGATGGCTACTCCACATAATGGAGCAGGCAAAGCCATTAGTCAATGTTATAATTAAGTTTCATGCCTTTTTACAGCCAGAGGCAACACCAAAGGAAATAAAGCTGTAAATCAACCTCTACTATGATGGTCAGAATGGGTACAAGCAGCTGTGCAGATGTAGTCTATACATATTAGGAGCTACTACCTTCAGCTCTCTTTTGATTAATTACATATAGTACGTTATATAAACACAAGGACATTTCAGTGTGAACATTTGATAAAAAGTAGCACTCACAAAAATCTAGTATCTATAAAATCAGAATGTCAGCTAGTGGCAGTTTTACTGTACAGTGTGCATGCAATGAGGGTCACATTCCAGTCTTTTCAGTCCTAGCAATATGGAAAAATCACCAAAAGTGCAGAAGTGTTTTCTGTAAAAAAGACATAATGAACACAAAACACGCTACTCAACCAAGAATACCAAGGATCTGGATGAGAGATCAAGGCTCTGGGAACAACAACGACCCCAAGCAAGCAACAACAACCACTGGAAAACCCTCAGGTTGGTCTCGGCACATTTCACCAGAGGAGATATTTTCGTTTATTTGCAATGCATTCTCATTTCGTTTATTTGCAATGCATTCTCATCAAACATGTAGTCCGGTGAAAATCTGTGATCTATGTTATTATACTTCTAAAATTAGAAACAGAATAGAATATGAAAAGAAATATTAACTTTAGATAGAAAGACAGTCTTTAAGAACTGGGAGTTAATCATGAAGCTACCAAAATAGCTGAATGTCTACATCACAGCTCCATCCTTGTAAAGGTAAACAAATGTCAACTCTTCTACTATGTCCATGCATTACTGCATAATTTAGAAGATACTCATAATATAACAAGGCTATGTTAGTTTTCTTCCTGTAGCTGTCATAAAATACTCTCACCAAAACACCTTAATGAAGAAGAAATCCTGGTCCATCATTTTGGAGAAGTCAAGGTAGCTTGAAACTGAAGGAGCTGGTTTACCGCATCCATAATCGTCAGCAGAGGGCAATGAATAAGCACATGTGCCCCAGGGCTCGGCTCACACTCCTCATTTGTACAACCCAGGATTTGCTACCAAGGGTTTAGTGCTGCCCACAATGAATGGGGTTTCCTGTGAATCCAGATTCACACTCCTGCATGAAGGCCCACAATTCAACCTAATTTAGATAATCCGTAAATAGACTTCATTTCCTGGTGATTGTTGGGAGAACAAATCATTCAGGGTGAACAAATAGTTGTTTGTATGGACAAACGTAAACATGGGACATGATCTGGTAGCTCCTAAAGGAAAAGGTGATCAGTTCTAAGAAAAACTAACTTTCTTTTAGTAAAAGCTCATATTTACTCACTAGTTAAAGGGGAGAGAAGTGAATCGAGAGATGATAGAGGATGATTTATATGCCTAAAAGCGTATATGTCTTCATCAGTTAATAACAAAGAAACAATTACCCACACCTTTTGTTGTCACCTGTTGCTTTATTGGAGGGCAAAATTGGTAAATTGGGTAAACACCATAAAGAAGGGATATAAAGGGTTAGGAAATTAGACATTAAGCCATCTCATTCGATTTGTAGGTAAGTCTGTGCTGTTGACGGCAGGTCACACACACACAAACACAGGAATTGGAGGAATCAGGCTGGATTTGATAAGGAAGCCTCCTCACTGAGTTCTAGACGTCTCCATGCTGTTGCTATTGAAGGAAAGTAATCAGCAGCTACACAAAGCTGTAATGTCTATGAACCACAACAATGACCAGAATGTCAACACACCCCAAAAGTACAATAGTGACACTTCTCTATTTCTGTTCAATAGGTAGGAATCCATGAAAGCAGTGTACAATTACAAATCAAGTGTGGCGGCTGAGGCCATGGAAGCTAGAGAAAAATTTCCTACTGCTAAATTCTCAAACCAACATAATCTCTAACAGCGTTTTTAATATCTACCCTTACACCCTCAGATAAGTGTATCTCTCGCTTCTCATTAAAGAAACTTCTTTTTGGTATCAGACACAGACCATTAAAGAAAACATCTGATAAAAATACAAAGAATATTGACAGCCCAGCCCTAACTGATACATCTGCAACACAATCCCTATACCTAAGACAATGGGGGATTAAAAAATAAATAATCACAGAAGAGCAGATAGAAAGATTGCAAGAGCCAGTAGCCAGAACATAAGCTGTGAAATTGCATCATCTGTAAACAAGCAGAAGCTACTCCCACAGATTCTGAGCACTATGGCTACCTAAAGACCACCTAAAAACTAGCGAACCCAGTTGACATTCCAATGTGGACAAGATACATATCACAAGGCAATTAATGACTGCTCAGAGAGAATCAGTTTTCTTCAAGTCTAGGCTCCTAATTGGTTATTTAATACCAAGTCATCTGCATTGAAACATATACACATGAGCAACACTAAATCAACTTAGCATGTCATACTGTGTGTGTGTGTGTGTGTGTGTGTGTGTGTGTGTGTGTGTGTGTGTAAAAGTAGTCTTTAAAGAAAAAAAATGAGAGGGATCAGGGAGACAGGACAGGAAGACAGTCTGGGATGATTGTATTGTAGTACCCACACATACTTTTATTTTTAAAAAGATACTCAAGTAAATGTGAAAAAATTAAAAATAAATTGAGTGTCTATAAGACAAAAAAAGAAGTTGATTTTTAATAATTGGTAAAATCACTTTAATAAATCTAAGAAAATAGCAGTAACCCACAAGCTCTGAGACAGGTAGCTAATATGTCCCATGCACTCAAGGCTCTCATAACTTTGAGTCTGTATTTCCAGAGATATCTCCAATATAATATGTCTACTGTTACATGGAGGAAATGATAGCATTTGGTAAAGAACATTTAAGATAACATGCACAATTGATTTCTACCGTGCTCCTGGAAGCACTCAAGACAGTAAGGGTATATATTTTTTCCTGGTTTAGACTATAAGTAGCACATCTTAAATATATACAGTAAACTAATGGGATTCTCCTGAAATAATGAGCTGGAATCAAGCCATCCCCATCTAAGTTGTTTCTGTCAAGTGTTTTGTCACATTATGACAAGGGTGCATTAAACAGTCAGCAGAGTATAGGAAAGACAAAAGCATTTCAAAGATCTTGTCACTTCACCTTAATGGACAGAGAAGGCAAAAAGGAAGGGATTCCTCCCTCATAAGAACGAACAAGCAAGCAAACAAACAAACCAAAGAGATTCTAATGACCAGGAATTAAAGAAGTGTTACAGAAGAAAGGCACTACTTAGCCCCAATGATGCACTCTTCACCTATCACTGGGAATTTTGAGATTCACCACCTCTTGCAGTGAGCGTCCCTATGGGAACATAGTTTGCTTCCAGGGGTCAGAGCAGCAAGAATATGTTCTGGTAAGAAAGTGGTAAATGAAACTGATGTGTTCCCTGTACCCAGGGCTGCATATCCAGACTGGCATGGTCTTAGGTAAATGATGCTTTCAGATACTGAAATGCCCAGTAACACCTGCTCACAGGACATCCTGGGGAGATTCCATGGGAAAGACTATGCACATCCTACTCCAAACAGGTATTGTCAATCTAACACCCTAAATTTTCACCCTGGGCTCACTGCATATGTTGTGAGAATAAAAATAGAATAAAACAGAGGCACAAGAGACATAAAGAATCAAAGCGATAAAAGGTATTTCTTAATCTAGAGAGCCATTGTGGGGTCAGGGAGAAACCTGGTGCTAAGGTAAGTAACAAAAATCCACAAGGATGACCCCAGCTAAGAATCCTAGCAGTAGTGGAGAGGATACCCACCTGGCCTTCCCCTGTAATCAGATTGGTGAATACCCTAACTAGCATCATGGAGCCTTTATCCAGCAATTGAAGGAACCAGACATAGAGATCCACAACCGAGAACCAGGCCCAGCTCTGGGAATCCAGTAGAAGAGAGGGGGGAAGGAATATATGAGCAAGGAGGTCAAGATCATGATGGAGAAATCTACAGAGACAGCTTGAGCCAAGCTTGTAGGATCTCATGAACTCTAGACCACAGTGCTAGGGACTACAGGGCATTGACTGATTGAGGCCCTCCGTATGTGGGAGACAGTTGTGAATCCTGGACTATCAGAGAGGACCCTGGCAATAGAACCCTGACACAAACCTGGTACATGAGCTAGTTTGTTGGAGCTCAGTGCCTATTTTGGGATGCCATGCTCAGTCTTAATCCATGGGAAAGGGGCTTGGGCCAGCTTCAACCTATTATGTCAGACTTTAATGACTCCTCGTGAGAGCC